TTGAATGTAATTTTCTTGTAATACTTGTTCGGAACTATGGACTCTCCACGTGACTTTACTTTTTAATCATAATTGAGATGTTGCCGTTCTATGCATATTCTTCTTATCTAGTTAGTGTGGAACTTTGTTCGCATTTTCAACAACATTTTCCTATTATTAATGGAAAATGTGAACGAGTAAATAATCACTCCAACATTTTTTTTTTCTTTTTTGGCTTCTTCGTTAATTTTATCATTGGAGTATTGTTATTGTATGTGTAACTTTAAGAATCATATAACCCTGGTATTTATTTTCTCCCCATTGTGAAATTTGGTCCAATTTATTAAGAAAGAAATTGTGAGCCACATGATCATGATCATGGCACATGTGGGTGTCAATAGTTGTAAAATTGGTGTGTAGTTAGTAAGATAATGTTGAAAGACCAGAATCTCAAAACCTGGATTCTCGCTTTTCCCTCCAATAATTCATGGACCACAATCTTTGTAGATGAGCTCTTTTTAGAGAGAAAAAATATATATATATTTTTTTATTTCTTCTTAATAAAGTGGATTCACATTTCACACCTACAATATCTCTTTTTTTATTTATTTGGTGAGATTATTTGATAAGAATTCAATAATGAAAGTAATGTTTAATGTAACCTTGAAAATGTTTATGTTCTAGTGATTTGATTTAATGATAGCCCGAAGAAATCATAGTAAACACATTTTAGTGTGGGATAAGTTTGACCGGCCCTCAAAATATCTTTACATTAAAGATATCTGTATTACGTAGTCTTCTCAACTTAATAATATGATGTCTAATCGCAATAAATAACATAATCGTAGATTGTATATTTATTATTATATTAGATATATCATGTATAAATTTTGTAATTTTCTTATTCAAATTTCAAAAAGTTCTTTTTTCCTTGGTAGCGTTATGTCTATGCCAGTACAACGACTATCACTTTTGAAACTATGATATATACATTAATTTTTTTCATTTTTAGAAACCTAATAGTATAATGATTTCTATATCTTTTAAATTATTTATTTTTGTCTCTAATTTCATGCAAGTCTAAGTCTATTTAATATAAATCTTTTAAGTCATTCATTAATTTCCCAAATCAATAATATATTGCTTAAAACATAAGCTAATGTGGTATCATATACAATTTAATTGCATGATGAATTTTAATGACAAGAATCATGACCAAATTTATACAAAGTTTATAGACGAATATACATGTAATGTTCAGAAATATAAGAATAGAAAATAAATGTGAATGTTTAAGAATCAAAATTTGAATATTGTTTTTCTAGTAAATTGCAATATAAAAAACTTATGGATTCTAATAAATTTTAAAATTGCACTGAACCGGCTTTTAGTTGAAGAAAAATAACTCGTAAAAATTGGACCTTTCTATCAACTTAAGGATCATCGGCTAAACTTTTATAAGAAGTTTGTAATTTTGCTAAGAGAAATAGAGTGAAAATTTTATGAAAGGAAAGGAAGAGAATAAATAAATTGAGGAGGTAATATTTTTTTTAAAAAATAAAGTTAGTATATTCTCTTCTTTTATATGAACTTGATTTTTGCCTCCACCCGCACCCAAATGAGCCTAATAGAGAAAATTTTAAAGTGGTATCCAATTTTTAAAATTAGATTTAATTTTTACCATTAAAAAGTTTATTAGTGGTATGTGTAATTCGTCTATTTTTTTATTAAAATTTTATTCGATAGCATAAATTTAAGACAACATTATTTTTTTTTTCAAATATAACATAATTCGATTTTTTGAGTGTATGTTACATTTGAATTTGAATTTAATTAAGATGATGTTATTTTTATAAAATTTCAAACTTTCTATTATACTTAAAATGTATATTTATTTGTTGCTATTTACGTAAATGTTTTTTTTATAATTTATAAAATGATAATTACAAACACATAATGATTATTTCTATGGGATTTTCCAACCAATATATGATCATTAGCATGATATGGAAACCAGGAAGCTAAAAATGATTAGCTTTTCTTTTTTTCTTTTTTTTTTTTGGTAAAAATAAAAATGATTAGCGATATATATGTGTGTATAAATAAAATATATATATATATATATATGATCTTGATTTATTTTTTTTTAGTATGTGGGGTGGGTATTTGAGTTTAATTTGGTTTTAAAATTCCTTGAAAATCATGGATAAAGCAAGTTTGTCCCCATTAGTTATTAATTTGTTTAATTTAAGCTAATTTTTTACTTAATTAAATTTAAACTAATTAAGTAACGACTCATGTTTTAATTGTAATTATTCATCCTTGTTCACGGTAATATTATATTATCAAATTAATTAATTGTTTTCTTTTTGTGCTTGAATTACTTTCTTTTTACTTTAAATATTCTTAGCTTTGCGGCGATATCATCATCAATCTTACCACAAGCTGGCTGCCTTTACGCATGTTCAATTCAAACCTCCTTTTCAGACTCTTTCTTTTTCCTTTCTTTTTCTTGCCTAAATTTAATATTAAAATCTATTTCAGCATTTTTAATTCTTTTATTATTATCTTATACTGGTCCATTCCAAGATAAGTTAATTTAATTCATTATCTTAAATTTCACCTATTATATTTTTAATTATTATTCAAGTATATTACAACTGAATTTATACAGTGATATTTCTTTATTTTTGTTAAAAATATTATTTTCCATATGAAGTAGAAAATGGCTAAAAAAATTTCAATTCCTTTATACAAAAAATTAAATCTTTTCACTCTACTATCTTTCTACACATATTAACATTGTATTTTAGTATCTAAATTTTTATACTTATTTATTTTTGGTCCATCAACTTGTAATTGTTCAACTCATCAACTCATTTATTTTTGGAAAAATCTTTGAGTGTGGTTTGAACTATTGATTTACGTAGTAATCAACTCATCAGATAAATGAACATAAGATATGTCTATAAAATACAACCTAAGATTGCTGTTAAATAATGTATAATAAAATAATGAAAACGACTAAAATGAACCTGCATAAGGATGTCTAAAACTTTTAAGGACCAAAATATGGTTTAAAAGAATGGAAAAGAAAAAGAAATGAAAGTACATAGGCTGTCTTCTCTTGAAACTTGGAGGAGCTGTAACAACAAACAATATGGGCCCAAAGATGAGGCCCATATGTCATCGTAAAGCAAAATTTACAGAGATTTTGGACTACTGTTTCATCAAACAATGCATGTGGACAGTTTTCTTAGTGGACTGTGGGCCCAATACTTTCACGATCCATATAAAATTTTGGTCTACTGATTTATTGCACTATTTTTTTTTAATATCATTATTGTTGTTGTTAATTAATTAAGATATGTCCATATGGAAATGTATAAGGCCGTTTGGATGATTCTTTTGTCGCAACCATTCTGAAAGCAAA